AAGCACAGCATGCAGGCACTTGTTTATCATGGGTGAAAATGCATAGCTGATGGTGGTGACTGTTGAAAAGCAGTGTTTTGTAGCTGAAAATTTGCTCTATCAAATAGTGCTATTATGCTCTTTGTACCTATTGTAATTTCTATGGAAATGATTAGGAGTCATTACTTTTGGAGTGACCTACGTAACTCAAGCATGGCCATAGAAGATATTTCCTGCCTAAATTCTAAATTGCTATCCAGATTATATATTAACTGTAATATGTAAACTCAATGTTTTAAATACCTAATTGAGAATGTTAAGAGAGCTGAGTTGATTTTTAAGGTGGACAGAAGACAAATTAATGGAATTCAGTTTCCTTTTATTGAACAGGAGAGAGGATCAGAAATAGAATTATGAAATGAACGGACTAATCTATCATTCTTTCAGAGATCCTTTATTTAACACATCTGCTTTGTTTTTCAAATATTTCCTTTAAGAATCTTTTGGAATTTGTCAGACTCCTATTGTGTTTAAAGACAAGGTGCAATTCACTGCCAGGTGAGGTGCTTTACTGATACTGGGGCTCGGAAATGTGCTGTACGGAGGAGCCTGTGCTCCACAGTAGTATCATGATGGCTGTAAAATGCCTTCACTTTGAGCAGAGATACATTTTGTTACATGGTAAGAATAGGCTTAGAGTTTTGAGGACCGAAGATCTTTTGCTTCTGAGTAAGGTTTCAGGATTAGTTCCTTACTCATGTCATCTTAATGAAATACTTGAGCATGGAGCCCCAACTCAGCTGTTCACTTAAGATCCGCGTGCTCCATGGCCACAGTCCAGATCCCTGACCTGAATGCTGGCACGCTAATCTGTCCTTTCAAGAATGGAGCATAGGTCACTCTTTCTCATACTCCAGTTTTCTTCTGAAAATCTGCAGCTGAATGGGTGTCCCATCTTTTGCCAAGCAGTTTAACAGTTAAATTACTCCCCAGGACAGTGGAGGCCTGAACTTGTTCAGGAATTGCTGCCTCTGAGCTGTAGCTTAGAGGAGAGTCTCAGTCCTCTGTCTGGATGAGTCTGTTGCACACTGTAGAAAATAATACCAAGATTCATAGGCCACAGTATGTGCACAAGTAGCTTGCCAAGTGTTGTGTTCTATCAAACAGCCTTCAGGTATGTAAGGATGGGATTGAGCCCATCCTAACCTTTCTGTCCCTTTTTCCTTTTAGACATGCGTTACAAGTGTGTTCTACTTTCTGTTTGCTCTCAGACACCTTGCTCGGAAGAGCACCAAATTTGAGCTCCCAGAGAGGCCTGGATGTGAGTTACTCAGATGTCTCAAACCTTTGTAACTTCTGGGTGTGTGCAGAAGCAGCCTTTATTCTAGGGGAGCTTGGAAGTGAAGAAAATGAAACACAGAAAAAGCTTAGATGCCTTTAAAGGGGTGTATGCCATATAAGCAGAGTCTTTCAGGAAAGCAAATTTGATTTAAAGACTGCACAGTAGAGAAGACAAGGGCATTGGAGTGGGTTAACACTCCACAGGTTCTTAGCTGGAAACCACTGTTACTGCAGACAGTAATCAACTATTTGTGTCCCTACGCCATTACAAGGAGTGGAACAAGCACATGCAACTGTGATTAGCTGAGACTGTACTGTGTATGTAGGTTCCACAACAACCCCTCTTGCTCTTGTTTTCTGGTCCTAGGGAATGTGACACGAGTTTGCAGAGCAGATCCAGGAAGGCAGCATTAGGGCCCAGGGCTCCGTGTGTTACCACAGGAGCTGGATGGTTACTGTTAGGAGCCTGTTCCTTGTTCTGGGAATCATTAACTCAAAACTGTAAAGAACCTGTTTGAGTAGTAACTGTGTGTTACTATTGCTTTCAGATCTGCACAATTTTCTGCTCACTTTCTCTGCCTTGTTCTGGCTGATGAGCACTTCAGATATCACATTGAAAGTAGAATAGCGTCAGCAGGAGACTGCTGCTTTGAGGAGTTTCCCAAGGGCAAAGTCAAAACATACTTAAGGTTGGCATGCACCTCTAGAAGTCTTCCACACCCTACAGCTCTGCTCATGATGGGACACCCAGAGCAGGGCGCCAGACAGCTTGTGAGGATCTCCCGTGATGGGACTCCACAACCTGAATAGGCCTCTGTACCAGCACAGTAAAGAAGTGCTTCCTGATGCTTACACAGAATGGCTGAGAATGCAGTTATACAGCTATGAGGTTGCAAATGTAGGTGATAACACAATTTCAGGCAATTGTGGTTGCCCAACTTTGGGCTGAGGAACTTGATGTTGCAGTTCCGTTCGTGTCTCCATCTCTATTGCACTCTCCACCTCCTCTCAGCCCCCCACCAAGCATATGTCCTAACTCCGAGGCACTGCACCTCCATTGTAATAGCTGCTCTTGAGGATTGGAGTGTACTCATAATAAATATTGCTATAAAAATGCAAAAAGACCTCAGTGACTCCTCTTCAGTAATTTTCACATTGTGGGAAGTACCTCTTTGTGTGGTACTCTCTCTTCTACAGCATATTTCTAGACATGGCTGTATTTCTGCTGCTCTTTACTGTCCAAAATATTGTAAAGGCTGAAATTGCTGTGATTTTGAATGGACTGTGGCTGTAGTTTGGGGAGATGTTTTGTTGATCTTTTTTTCCAATAAACCAATATGAAACTTGTTGCCTCAGGAGAGCAAGTCAAATGAATTTATAAGAGGCTGTGCGCAGTAATATAGTAACATTTCAGCCTTATGCTTAGGGGAAATTGACTGCAAGGATGGGGAAGCAGAGCCATGTATCTTGCAGTGAGTTGTGGCTGGATTTCTCATTCCATTGCTTTCCACTGAAGCATTAAATACTGCTGCTGGAGACAGGATATTAAACCTGCTGCAATCATGTATGTGCTTCTCACAGCTTTTACTTCATAAGAGGCGAACAATTCCTTTATAATAAAACTTCTGTTCTAGGCCTTGTAATTAAACAACATAATGAAAATTTTGTATAATGTATCTGTAATTTCTAATTTGGGCTTACAAAGGCAAGTTTGAACTTCCCCAGAACTCTATCCTGCTGTGCTTAGGAGCAGGCAGACAATGGAAAACGCTTTGTCAGCAAAGCAAATAATTAGAACTTTCTGTTGCACTGGGGTGCAGCCTTGCTATGCTTGCAGTCTCCTTCCTAGTATTTCCTGCAGACAGACTTGTGTTTGCTGAGTTATCATTTTGAATTATGTCTTTCAGACTTCCTGTGACTGGATGAGCCCATCAATATATTTTTCATAGTTGTCAGCTTCCTACAGCCACTTTTGTCCTGCTCTAGCTTCACATCAGGCCGAAAGCTGGTCGCAAACCTCTGACATACTGTCTTTGCTTATTCACATCAGGAAACAGTGGTATTAGGGATTGAGAGTGCAGTGGGGTGTGTAGGAGACGTTTGAACTACATGGCACTTGGTGGATCTTGAGGTTTAGCAAAGGTACCTGGGGATCTACCAAAGTGCTGCACTTATAGGGTCAGAATGTAGCAGCTGCATCCATGTGCCTGCCTCTGTGCTAATGAAAAAGACAAAAAGGTACAAGGCTGAGGACAGCATTCTTTGGCTTCTGATGCAGGCAGCAGGGCATGGCTTTTGGGCACATTATTGGCTAGGCTGTCAGCCCTCTGCCAGAGCTGGGGGCCTCACTCACAGTGCCTGTGGGCTTCTCTGGCTCTGCTGCAGCCGGCGGCATCCAGGGGAGCTCAGTGCCTGGCCAGCACTGTACAGCATGCTGGTTGGCAGTGTGGCCAGTTCTGCAGTCTGTGCCTTGACCTTGTCTCACTATCAGTCATTTATCCTGACATACATTAGCTTTCTGCAGCTTGCTTTTTTTGTCTGTTGGTTTTTTTTTCACAGTCATAGGAGAATTGGTTGGAAGGGAGCTGTGGGTGGTGTCTGCTGGGTTTTGTGCCCCACTCAGTGGCTCTGGGATATCACCAATCCTCAACAAACTTTTTGCCTGGCTGAGTGTTAGCACTGCTCAGCTCTGCAGTGCTACAGGAACCATGGAGCAGGTGTGCATCCTCTGAGTGAGCTCAACTGCCCTTCAGCTCTTGGCTGGTTAGGGGTACACTTCCTCCTTCATTGTCTGAATTAATTTTAAATTTCTACCTTTGGTGCTAAATTTCTGCTGGAATCCTTAGTCTTATAAACTTCCTTTGCAACCTCAGGAGCTTTATTAGGTATCTCGTTTCTTAAAGTGGGGCAGAGAGAGGTCGGGAAGCAATTAGTGTGTCTGACTGGAGTGGGGAACTTCTGAATTCCAAGGGTTTCTAAACTGATGTGCCGTCTTTGTGTCTTCATTGCCTTATGTCTGTCTGTATTATTGAAATTATCAGAGAATGCTTATGATTCCTTGCAGGTGTGATGTCAGCACTAGCTACGTTACATATGTTTGGCAGTGGGAGCTATAACGTTAAGTTCTTATTTAATTTCATTTTTGATGGTGAATGTTCCTTCCTTCCAAGTGAGGGTGTTTGAAGAGAAACTCCAAATTTTTCTTTGTTTGAAGTGTCCCAACATAACCTTTGCTGGAGCTCATGCCTATGAAGTCAGGGCTGCTGAGCACCCCGCAGATGATGCACAACATTGGGCTGTTGCAGTCATGATTCTCACTGGCCTGTAGAAAGTCTGTATTTAAAATTAAATGGTTGTGCTTTTCATGAAAAGGGGTAACTTGAAAATGTCAGAAATAGCCCTTGAAAGCAATCTGCTGCATATTGTTCCAAATAACAACCATCTAAATAAAATCCATCCCTGTAGGTAGCAAGTTAGAATATGATGTATGAACATTTGTTTTTTTTTCATGTGGCTTCACCGTCTCCTAATTAATTATATCTAATCACATACTAAATGGCTATTTAAGATGAGATGTGGCGACTTACTGGTACTTCTGAATAAAAATGACTCAGGAGAGTACGACTGAATATTCTGCAGTTGGATGTTTCTATACTTCATTACCCCTGTTCCTGTTACAGGTGCATGTGACAGCATTGCAGCAATGAGTGGAATTTTGAAGAGGAAGTTTGAAGAAGTTGATGGCTCCTCACCTTGCTCCTCTGTGCGGGAATCAGACGATGACATTTCTAGCAGTGAAAGCGCTGACAGTGGTGATAGTGTCAATCCATCCACTTCTAATCATTTTACCCGTAAGTACCAATGTTCTGTACCTAAAGAATTCTTTCTGTTCCTCAAAATAAAATTAGGCATTTTAGTTTGATAGAAATGATGATTTAAAATTGAAGAGATGACAAAATTTACTTTCAGAGAGCTTGTGGCTTGCTCAGAATGACTTAGCAGACTTGTACCCTTTTGCCTTCATGTTACCTGTGTACTGCTATTTGTAATTGTAAAAATGTGAAGTCACTTGGAAGGCCCTGTTTGCTGTTTGAATTACGTGTATGTTCATAGCAAACACTGGGAATTGTGCTTACAGTATTTCAAGCGGGTGCTGTACAGAAGATACCGTAGGTAAGTTTAGTTATTTTCCTTGGACAATTGTCAGCTATCTGCAAGGTATTGTATTGGCAAGAGATCTCCAAGGTAAATAACACTATTTTTTTTTTTTTTTTTGGTTGGTTGGGGTTAGGTTTTTTTGGTTTTTTGTTGTTGTTTTTGAATGGAGCAACATTGTGTATTAGTCACAGAGACACCCGTTATTGTAGTAGTTTCTGTTCTTCATGAAGAGGAGGACATCTGTACTCAGCAATTCTTTTGTGCTCAGATAAACATTTGTTCTTAAGTTAGCAAAGCTACATAGGCTATGTGGGCAACATATATATGCACATATATACATATATGACTAATTTACGTTTTGTAATTTGTAATGCATGTTGCAGGTGGCTTTGCTGTTCTGATGGTGAACTGTATGTTTTAAAAAGCTGGGTTTTTCGTGTTTCAACTCTGCTACGTATAAATCTGTGTACTGGAGCTAGTGGCCATAAAGCTGTTTTCTTAGGACTGTGGACTAAGAAATAGATGAGGTGCCCTTGACCACCCATGTACAGTGTGATGCTTTCAGCTGTGTGGTTTAGCTTGTGTCCAGGAGTCATGTTTGTACCATGTGGTATGAAGGCTCTTAAGTTGGTTTGTCTGACTAATGCTGCAGTACAGTTTGAGCTAGGACCTGGGTGTGAGCATCCAAATCCTCTGTTCTGTTATGGAATGCTCCTCCAAAAATGGTTATGCAGGGGCAACTTTTCTAATGTGTTTACATGTAAAACTCTTGATGAAGTGTGTTATATTTAAGACTCAGTATTAGTAGAAGACTTTATATTACGGAAATGCTATAAAGAAGTACGTGACCCAGTAAATCTTGTTAGTAGTAATAGGAAACAGTTTGATGGTAATATTCTCTACATGCTGATCTTTCAACTTTTGCATCTATTAAAAGACTTAAATGATTATTCATCACAGACTGAAAGCAGCCCTTGTACATCAGTCGTTGCCACCCACATAGAAGACAGCAATTTTATTGTGAATACGCAAAGAAAGCTTGCAATTCAGAGGAGAAAGTTGAGAGACCTTGTAATACATGCATATAACAGTGAGCTTTGTTTATAATTGACACAATAAATGGTTTGATTTCTGAATAAAACCTTTGGGGGAAAATATAACGTTTCTGAGTGTCACGAGTAGAGGTTCGTATGTATGTATCAGCTGGCAGTGTCTTCCTTCCAGTCTGTTTTCATATAAGCAAATCCGAAGTGCCATCATCTATCCTTTACTGACTGCCAGTGTGGGTTTTGTGACCTGTTGTCAACATCAAAATCTACACGTTACATCTGTAACTTAGCTTTTGAAAGCCTTCATGTGGCCCTCTAAATCTTATTTTTCCTTTCTAATTGGCCTAAAAAAAAAATTCCTGAATCACTTGTAGATACAGCTTTGTTGATGCATCAGTGAGCAGGCAGGTGGTTTATAAAGCTATCTACAATCACTGATGCATCTCAGTATTTATAAGACCCTTAAAACATTACCTGTTAGCTCAGATAAACAAGACTGTTTCAGCTATCGTGTTCCATTAGCCTTAAGTTCAGTTCAGCCTCTCGGCTAGACAAGGAGTATAGCTGCTGTGGATCATTCAGATGGAGCAGAAACACCAGAATATAACTTTGATGCAAATAACTATACCTGTAGTGTGATGGCAGAAAATACATGACTAAGATGTCTATGAGTGATGTCTGTTGGAGCTTCTACAAAGGGGTAGGTACAGAGTTTCTTTAACAAGATATCCGTTCAAACAGATCAAGGCAACAACAGTGCAAGTCGCAGGCATCTTCTGAGTCATGAAATGAAATTGCAGTCTGCTTCTGCTAAATAAAGTAGTTGCTGCTTTCTGCTTCAGTTTTCATTGCCAGATGGGTTTAGGGTGAGTCTAATATATATATTTATATAAAATACAGAGTGTTCCATAAAGCGCAGACAGCTGTTACTGTGTCCATAACCATAAAATTAGTAGATTTTGCTTTTTCTTGGTCAGGTATGTATGTATATACATCTTCGCTTTTTCAATTCTCATATCAAATGGTGATCACCTACATTCCCAGTGACAGACACATACCTTACCATCTTTTATTTATTGTTCTCAGTCTATTGAGGTCATTTCAGTTTCACCCAGCAGACAATTACTCACACCATAGGTTTACCTTAATGAATGCCAAACCCTGTTACTAATCACCAGTCTGCTTATGTGTCCCATTTCACAACCCATCCTCCATATCAGAGAGAAGAATGTCCATCTTCAAGCAGCATTACAAGCATGTATATAAGGTATTAGGCTCACCAATATTGATTTTACTATTAAAGACAACTGGAAGGATTCTGAAATACAGGTACATCCCCATTGCTCTTCTTTCCTTAGGAGTACAGTTTGGAGTATCATAGGGCCTCTAGAAAATTAAGATTGCTTCATTTGTGTGGCCAAGTAAGAGTTTGGAAGAAGGTATCAAATCTTTGGACATTTGCTAGGAAGGTTTGGATTCTCTTAAGTTACCTTTATGTAAAGGCTGAAGTTTAATTTGATGTAAGGTCCATAGCAGGAAGACATTACCTGAGCCTGGAGCTTAAAGCTGTTGTTTAATTTGTGGTTAATGATAGAAATCTCAAGGAGTTGGACATGGAAATGCTAGCTTATTATAGGAGAACACTTACGAAGTGCAGCTAAATGCAGGTGTTCTTTTTTTCACGGCATCTTGCAAATATTCATGTTGCCTGCCACAAGGCTTGGAATTTCCTTGCTAACCAGGAATACATTCTCGTCATCATTTGCTAACTCGCATTAGGAAGTATAACCAGGCTTAGAGAGTCTCAATTTTGATTTCAAAGAAGTGAATGCATCTGGACAAGAAATACCAAGAAATGCAAAGAAATTCAGTGGAGTGAATTTCTCAGAGGTCAAATCTCATATAAAATGAAAGGGCTAGGTATACAAGAGATCCTGCCTGCTGTCTTTTACCTGGACTAATGACTGCAGGAGAAGGAATTTTTAAAAAGCATAAAGAGGCATTAGGAGGCTGGCTGATTTTTAGAAGGATTTGTGTTTTTAATTCTGTTTGTATTTTTGAAAATTTCTCTCCTATAAATTAGTACGTTTCATGCAATGTACACAGGGCAGTTTTTCCTTTAAACAATGCATTTGTTGAAGGCATTCATCACATATGCAAAATGCCTGAAAATGCAAATTAATGGAGAGTCGATCGAAGTCGTATTTGTGTCCAATGGCTGAGCACACAAGTCTCCATAAGGTTGGACAAAGGACTGACTGTGGTCTTAGGAGACTTCGGCAAATGCAATTGTTATGCATGGGCGTTCCTGCAAGGATATGGCGGCATCCTCACAGTGCTCAGAGCTAGGGCCAAGGTCAGAAATAATCATCCAGGAAACAGCAGCTGGCATTTAGAGCAAATGGGGAGGCAGAGAGCGGTTAACTGTCTCCAGTTCTCCCTGCAGGCTGATTATATTGCAGAGCACAGAGTCTGTGCCATTGTAGTGAGCGTCAAAGAAAAGCCTGCTGCAAATTGAGGGTGGAGAGGAAGGAAACATACAGCTTTCTTTGAGATTTCAGCAGTGCGTTTCCAGCTTTCAGCATGCAAAGAATTGTGACGTTTCTGTAAAATTTTAAACAAAACTCTGATAGTGAGGTCAAATTTTAACTGAAGCTCAGGTGAAAATTGTCAAAAGTCAGAGCTGCCTGTGAACTAGTCTTTTTCAGAAACCATTTCTGAAGTGCAGTGCAAATCTGGCATTATGTGAGCATTCCCATCCAGCCACTGCTGTGGGATGAATTTAGCCTTGGATTTACCGCAGAGGGAGGTACCAGAAGGATGGAGCAGTGAATCTGTTAGAGTCAGTGTTACTGTTGTGCAATATTGTGTCCATCCTGCCCAATTTCCAGCCCTCATGTTGCTCCTTTCTGAATATGCTGTGCTTGCCCTCAAGATACAATATGTCACAGCATTTCCTTCTAAGGAGGATTTCCAGTTTTGTGGGAAAGGCATTTAATTGTTAGAGGCTTTAAATTTTTAATATATCGAGTCTGTTAGAAGTGTACCTTTAAAGAGGTGGTGAGGGAGCATAGAAGCAATTTCTGGAATACGCTAATTCCCCACGTTTTTTTTTGTTTGTTTTGTTTTGTTTTTCAAAGACTGTGGAGCAGAGCTGGCTTTTGTCAGTGATATGTGACCTGGGTTTCCAGGGGGTGTGAGGCTTTGCCTTCTGCGTCACTAGACTTGGTGGAACACTGCATGGCAGTCAATGAGCAGGTGGAGATCAGTGTTAATTCTTCTTGCATAACTAAAAGTATGTAATAAGCAGACAAATGGGATAGTATAGTATAAGTAAAGCAGTGTTTCTTCCTGTCTAACACAGTTTTAATTCAAAAGGCTGCAGGTTTTTTTCCCAGCCCTTAGGAATGTTCATGTGCCTAAGACATTTCTGTGATGGTGACAATGAATTGCTTTGCCCTCATTGATTCAAGAGTGCTAGTAATCTGCCGAGTAGCCATATGGTTTACATTTATTTTAATGTGTCTTTGACATCAGGAGAATAGCTGAGACAGCAGAAGAAAGTGCTTATGTTTTGGAGTTCAGCCAGAACTCAGATTATTCGTGTTCAGTAATCAAAGAACTATCAGTTTGCTCAGTAGAAA